CTGAAATGGCACAATGTATCAAGTATAATTCAAATAGAAATGTTTTTTCTATTCACTTACAACAGAAAGTGGAGAATAGCATGCAACTGTCCAATAACAAATAGATTCGTATTATTAGAATCTGATGCCTTTTTCCTTCCAAATAAAAGTTTTACATGATACATTCCAATATTAGTATTCTATATTTTGTATTCACAATATTAACTTCAACATATAAACTACCTGGACAGAATTTGGCATTTGGCTGATCCTAAATTAAGTTCTTTGTCTTCATTTGTTGTATAAAGCATGAATTCTAATAGGCAGGGACAGTTACATAACTGCACTTCAAAGCAGTCTGCAAACCAAGCAGCTACAAAGCAACATCTTTGCCTTCAGCAATCACACTTCAGTGACTCACTCAAGTGACCTTATTTGCTCATTAGAAGCTCTAGGTGCAGGTTGCAAATGTCAGAGCCTGGATTTGCATTTGAAAAAAAAAGGCACTTCTTGCAAATTTGAATGGTAATATTCCTGAGATTTCAGGTCACATCTAATTTTATTTGCTTATCTTTATATTTAACTGAAATCATAGTTATTTCTCCTAAACCCATGCCCAAAATGAACATGCTACACTTTAGTACTCATTCACTCTAGCATGTAAGTGCGTGATACTTTTATGCCATATGGAAAAAGCAGATCTGTAATTAAATAACCATTTCCCCTGTAACATTACAATTATGTTTTCTCTATATAGGCTTCAGTAGTACATCAGAACTTGCAAAGACAGTAACTTGAACAAAGAAAAACCCATACATTTATTTAGGGATAGATGAGCTAATAGAGATTGACCCTGCACATAGCATTTCATGTCTGGCACTGATCTCACTGTTAAAATTGCAGCTAACCCTTCAATAAGCTGTTAGTAGGTGGACCCCTGGATGTGGGCACAACAGGTGGCAGCACTTCCAATATTTCACACACAAAGAAACAATATACTCTAACAATAATGTAAGCCAGAATTGCCCATTTAATAAACGTGAACTTGGTGCATATAAAAGCTGATGGACTTACAGCAGTAGCACAATCATAGATACATAGTTTATGAAGCCAGAAGGGACCACTGAGTTCATCTAATTCTCTAACCAAACACTATCATACACATGGGCATTATAAACTCCTTTACAATTCCTGCCCATATACCTTTGTTCTGCTTCTAAAATCCATCATAAGGTTCTTAAGTTCTTGCGTTTCACATTGAAGTTCCAAATGAAGAATAAAAGATGGCTAGTGGACAAAACGTTCAGATGACTGAAAAACACTTAAAAGACATTTTAAGTGAAAAATGCATGGACACAACAGCCTTTTTAGACAAAAACTGAATCTTGTTGCACATGCTTTGAAGGCTAGCTTGTTTCAGGAAATACAATGAGGAGTTCTGTGGAACCTTAGTCCTGGTCTACATTAGGGAGTTATTTCAAAATAATAAGCAGAGAGCTCACACTAACAAGGCCGTTATTTAAAAATAATGGGCTAGTTATTTCAAAATCTATACTCCTGCTTTCCTTGGGGAATAATGCTTATTTTAAAATAGTTATTTTGAAATAGCATTAGCATGGATGTGCCACTGCTGCTATTTCAAAATAACTATTTCCCAGAATAATTCAAAATAATTACTCTTCAGTGCTTCTGGGGGCTCTAAGTTGAGGTTATGCATCCACATTAACTGAGCCTGCCTCAAACTAATTTTGAGGCTCCCCCATAGAGGGGACATGCTATTTTGATTGTTATTTCGAAATAATTTCCTAATGTAGATATGCCCTTAAACACTAACATATTTATTTGGGTAGAAGCTTTTGTGGGTGAGAAGAGTGACATTCTTCCAGATGTGTGTCCCCCATGGGTGATCCACATTAGGTCAGTGCACTGCTGCCGAGTCTCAGAGCAGAGATTTTATAGCAATGTCCCTGGGGCCATGCAGGTGTGCACCAGCAGTGGTGCACTGTTAGGCTGCAGGCATTGCTCATGCATGAGCTCCACCCCACCCCAAACTCCTCAGTTACTTCTCCACCCCAAAACCATGGCTTCAGCCAGTCAGGATCCTGAAGTAGAAGGGAGGAAGGAAGGGTTGTGGAGCACCCACGGGGACACTCATTTTGAAGTATGTCAGTTACAGAGGACTATGTGACAGCTGTGGAGGAATACTATCAAGGTAGCCATGGCTTTGGGTTGAGTGTGCCCTTATGCTATCTGGAGGTGGCATGCCTGACTCTGTGTACCAGTCCGAGATCCAGGGAGAGAGTCTCTGATGAGATGGCCTGTCCCTTATTGTGGTTTGCTATTGAAACAGAGAGTCCCCATGGACTGAAGCTTTAAAAACAAAACAAAAAAAAATCAGGATTTTGAGTGTATGTAGGTGAGGAAAGGACGTAAAGAGGGTTAGGATATGTGAGTAATGGTTTATATAACGTGTTAACCTGCAGAACTATTTTATTTCAAATTGTCATTAAAACATTTCTAAATAATACATATAATAAATGTTAGACTACTATAAAAGATTCAGTTAAAGTAGAAAAGGAGAAAATAAACTTCTGATTTCCCTCCCCCTCCTCCCCCCCATAAACTGTTTATGTCAGCTATTTTTGTTGGTTAAAAAAAGGTAACAATACTTCTAATGCTCCTAAAAGAAATCAAAGCACATAATTTATATCTCCTCTGGGTATACGGAATACAAGTCAGGGCTTCCCACTGACTTGCTTAGCTGATAAAACAGTTATTAATCTTAACAAAGATCCAAAAATAAACTTAACTCCTCTAAAATTGAAATGCCAATTTCACAGCCATATTTTCACTAAGGAAATTCTGAAAAAAAACCTTCTACTTTTACTAACACTGGTCTACCAGCACAAGGAATATTTGTAGCCCCAGCAAAGATTGAGAACTGGCTACCTAGGAAACGGTAAAGCTTGGGAATACTTACCCCGTTTGAAGCATGTCTAATTGACATAGTACTTAAAACATTGCTGGGAGTCAGTGACCCTTTTCCAATAATATGCCCTCTTTTGCCTTTCTTGACATCTTGCAACTTAAAGTATGAATATGGGGGGCCTTTCGGTGGCATTCGAAAAATATCTGTGCTTTGTTAATTCTAACTCCCACTTTTCCAAAATTTATTGAGACCTGGTTTCACTAAAATGGGAGATTCTGCCACACTGATAAATGCCTTGCTGGTGGAACATCCCACTTTGGTCCAGTAACGTCCCTGGTCTGTCAGGAAAACGGATGTTCCTAGACCACAGAGCCTAGGTATAGAAAAGTCTGGCTGCAGGGCAGGAGAATGGCAGCAGCAGTCAGGGAACTCTGGGCTCCAGCTGTGGCACTCCAGCCCTGGGAGCTGCAGCTGGCCAGGCAGCAGTGGGAATGAGCTGGAGCGCTTGCTGGGAGTGGCGGGGAGAGAGTACTGGTTCAGGATGGGCCATAAAGGGACAGACCTCCCCTGGTCTGGAACCCCCCTCATTCAGGACCAGTCAGGTTCTGAGTGTGTCAAACCAGGGAGATCCAACCTGTACATAAGTTATGCTTCTGTAGAATCTTTTAGGAGATTCTGTGGAGATTTTTAGACTTAATTCTACTTCTTGTCTTTGGCATCTTTAATTTGAGAAGGGGGGGAAAAAAAAGAGAACCTTTGTCTTCCTTATTCTTTTCTGAAGGAAAAAGAGATACTCTTGGTCTCCCATTGTTTTCTGACACAATGTCACCCAACTTTTATCAAGGCAGAATGGGACCAAAATGTAATAATTGGACCAGCATGTTTAATAATACATCTGTAACAAAGTCTCTGACTAGGAATATTTTTCTTAGAAAAAACACTAGAACATAGTGGAACAAGTGAAGCTCTAAGAACTGTAACTGAGGCCTCAAAGTCACTTCCCATGATACTCTAACTTCTTCAGCATGGTCCTTGTGAAAAAAGTCTTCTACCAAGGAGATCACCATACTCTTGCATAGGTATGCCACTACCGTGTTTACTTTTGGAATGACAAAGTAGGAAGGGATCAATTTATTGAAACCCACATGGACTTGCACATTGAAACCAATAAACAGAAGCTGTGGAATTACCTGTGTAACTGTTGTCATATGCAGCAGCAGTATAAAAAGAAATACACCCTGGATTTTATGAGTACAAATCAATGTACTATTTATAATGGGAGGAAAAATTTCTATACAACTTCTAGAACCATATTCTTAAAACAGTGACTAGTAATTCATATCAATGCAAAACCAGGTTTGAGTACTGAACCTCTGCAATCTAAGAAAGAGGCTTGGAAGCAAGGAGTGAATAAGGTTATATTCAGTTTGGATCTAATTATAGCTTACAACTGTAGAAGGCATTTGTAAAATTGCTCTACAAATTTGCAGGTCTTTTGGCTTGCAGGATAAAGTCTTACTAACTTTTCTGCTTCAGCTTTGCCATCTTTAAAATGGATTTAACTCAGAATGTATTGTTTTCCATCTGCAGACCTCAAAGGATATTATGGAAAATCAGGTAGCACAGACTAGCATTGTTTTTTGCTGATGAGTACCTGACACACATGTAAATGGAGTAATTTGCCCAAGTAAATTGTTTTCTGAAACTGTCAGGCCAAAGTCTAACCTTGACTGTAGTGTGAGAAGGCTCCTCTCAACCTTCTAGTAGAGCAGTTTCCGTACTGTAATAATAATAACAACACTTAGTGTTTACTAAAAATAAGGCATTAGAATAAGAACTGCATATGCTACTTCCTGCTACTACTTGCAATTCCTACTAGATCAACATAGTTAGGAATCAACATGTACTTTACAGCAAATGAGGTGGGTTTTTTTTACTGTACACTACACAATATCGAAGAATGTAAGCTTATATTACTGATATAAAAACATTATTTCTTACTTTTTCATTACAGTTTGTATTCAAGTTAAACAAAATTAAATGATACACTTTTAACTTCTATGAACAAGCATAACAGATAAAGAAAGGATATTTTCCTGGAGTTTCAGTACCCACTCTGTATTCAGTATAGCTTTGAGATGGATGGAAATTGAATATAAAAATTAAATTTGCCCTCTCAAATGCGATGACCTTATTTGATTCATGTTTTTCACTCACAAAAGCCTGGGAAGAAAATAGATAGTTACATTTCAGTTGTTAAAAAAATAATACATTAATTATTTGTAATTAAAATGTTCAACAATAGGAAGTTAAATTCAAGCAAAGTTGCAAAGTAAATAAAAGCAAAACTGAGAAAAAGATTAATTCTTCTAGTATGCAGGTTTAAACTGTTGACATTCTCATAAGGTATGTAACTTCGTATCAAATTTCAGAGCAGAAAATTATCTTTAATTTTTAAACAGCTAAGATAGATATAAAAGAAAGAAAGAATAAAAGCCAAATACACATTTTACTGCAACAACTGAAAAAAAGACACCTGAAGAGAATTCTTTTAAAGCAAAGCTAAATTATGCATTACTGTCCACATGTTTCTTCCCTAAATTGATGGTGGTATGTTTGTTTGTTGAACTAAAAGAAATTTACAAACTCTTTCTAGTACAAATTAGCATCACTGCCACTGTGGATCATTCAGAAGCTGAACAGAAGATATAAATAAGCAGGATGCTTTTTTTATACTACAGAATGTGCATATATAGAAGGATTATTTTTCCTTCCTCCTGAAAATGGCATTGATGATCAACCATATTATGTATGACCTGCAACAAAAAACTATTCCATATAAAATCATCTTTGCACTATCCATTGTTAAAGCCACACACCAAAGAGAATAACTATATGGCCATTCCAAACACTCCTTTCAAGAGACTGGATTAGGAACAGAATATTCTGTCACACTTAGTGAATATGTGAGCAAAAACTATCATGCAGTCCAAAACTTGTTTAACATTGATATGACCTGCAACAAAAAACTATTCCATATAAAATCATCTTTGCACTATCCATTGTTAAAGCCACACACCAAAGAGAATAACTATATGGCCATTCCAAACACTCCTTTCAAGAGACTGGATTAGGAACAGAATATTCTGTCACACTTAGTGAATATGTGAGCAAAAACTATCATGCAGTCCAAAACTTGTTTAACATTGAGAAGCTACAGGTGGTTTACTGATGTTTCAGTTTTATAACAAAAGCTACACAGCACAGTATTCAGGTATAATTGCAAACAGCATTGGCAGCATGAAGTTCAAGAGACTATAGCATAAGATACACTAAAGTACATTGAAAATGTTTTCCTTATGACAGAATAATTATTGACATGAAAAGAAATAGTCAAAACAATTAAGACACTCCCAAAGCAATCTTTCAACTGGATTCCAGACAGAGTTTTATTATGTGCTTTAACCAGTCTGAATTAAACTTTCTAAATGAAGCAGCAAAAATAATAAGAGCTAGCTCTTTGTGAAAGTAAACAGGACACTGTTTCAGATTTTCATTATCTGCAGGAGAGACTTCAGTGACATGTTTTGACAACCTGAAATATGTAACAAGGCATCACAGTGCATAATAAAGTGCTGTTTAAAAATTTGCATGTATATTTTATGTTATTATAATTCTGCACATGTACACTACTGGTGACTAAAACATAGCAGTTAGCATATATAGCTTACCGGGGGAGATGCAAGCCAGCCAAATCTTTCTTCCAATTTATTCATATCTCTGTCAAATGCATTTAGAAATCTATAGCGAAGGTGGTGATCATCACTTAAATGAAACTGTCTCCTGGCATAATGGTAGCTCTCATTGTTTCCTTTTCTGGGGAAGTCCAACCATTCTGGATGCCCAAATTCATTACCTATATTTAAAAATATGCATTATGGAACGGTAAGAGATACATATAGACATGATTAAGAGATCCGAGAACCTGAATGCACACTTTAATATGCTTAAACAATTTCCCTACTCTAAAACATAGAATCTAATCATCTTTTTCCATACATAAAGATTCCTAGCAGTGTTAAAAAGCTCCTCAGAACTCTCAGGGGTATTAGGATTGCAGTAGATAAATGCTATGTGTTCCTATACACTTCCCCCTCCAGTGTTGATGTAGTGCTTAAATATCACCCACACCAGAATCCAATCAGGACAGCTAACTGTCAGGCTTGTGTTCCTTAACACAATACCAGTAGAGATGTAAATAATTTTGAAGGAACCATGGAACCCGAACAAGTCTCCTAGCTCTCACTAATGACTGTCCATCCCTGAGAATGTCCCATCATTATCACCTTCCCCACAATCCCTCAAGAAATAAAATGGAAGGGAGAGACACTTCCATTCCAGTTAGCAGAACACACCTGATTGGGAAATGCTGAGGTGTACCTGCAAATATTAATATTGCATATCCAGTGCCATCAGCAATTCCAGGTGATGTAGGAAACCCCCCATAGCATACTTTAGTTTAAATTAAAAAATGACTGGGAAATCTGTCTGTCCCTCACTTGCTAATTAGCTAATTACATTCAGAATATCAATCCAGTTCTGCTGGTGAACTAATTCCTATGGTCTTTGAGACCCTATCCTGAGTCCATGAAGGAGCATATAAAAGTGACATAAAAGGAATTGCTGATATTTTACCCAAATGTCTCCTGAAGCTCTAGTATGTGTTGTGTTTTGGCCCAGAGGGTATTGGAGAGAGGGGAAGGGAAGGGTGACAAGGAGGAAAAAGGTACTGAGGAAACCAAACTATCTCCTGAATACACAGTCTATATGTGCAGCAACACCTGTTGCTTCCCCATAGTATTTTACACCAGGAAGATTGAGAGGACATGGCCAATTTATTGGTGGCAGATGTGAATTTGAGTTATGAAATAGACTTGTGTGAATATTCATGTTTCAAGCTACAGGTACATTAGTTAGGCTAAAGAAATGATTAAAAGAAAGAAAAGAAAAACAGTTTCAGAAAATATATAGGACAATCACAATACTATGATCTGCACTGGAATTTCATGTTGACAAATAAAATCATTACATTTCACATTCAGGTCAATATTATAAACAAAAGTCTGAAATAAATGGACCAGAATCCTGTCAGGGTTTTGACAATGGCCTTGGAATACTAGTGCATGGCACACAAGGTGTGTTGACAATATAGAGATTAAAATAAATAATAAAAAAAGAGGTACCACTATCTAACTGACTATGCATCTAATTAAATATTTTCTTTTAAGAGCTATATTAAGATATTCTCTTCAATTGTGTTCTCCCTGTTATTTTAAATATGTTGGAGAACATGGATTAGCATTGTGAAAGATGGAAAACTCTTCCCCGCCCCTCAAAAAAAGAAAAGAAAAGAAAAAGGAACCCCCGACAGACACACCCAAACCTTTGAAGGTCAGACACTGTGTGCTGTGAAGGCAGATGGACAAGGAAATCAAAATCTGTTCATTTTAGGATAAAGTAATCAACACTGAAATATTTATATTATATAATAGCTATAGATAATATTGAATGGGTTAGACACTGATACTTCATGTTAGTATTTCTACCTTTCCAGACCAGAAGAAAGTGCATACAAATCTATATATACAATATTTCTAAATGACATGAATAGCAGCTGGTTCTTTTTGAAACAGGCAAAACAGGGCATGAACCAACAAGACTAACAGGGAAAAGGGAATTTCAGATAACGTATAAATTTAATAAGAGCATAGGTAATTTTTTGAAAGCAGGAGTTTTTCTAAAGTTGGTTCTATATCCTTTTGATGCAAACCTCAGTGGGCTATTTATCATTTTTGATACCTGCTATTTGTTTTTATGGCTTTTTTTTATTTAACAAGAGAGCCTAGATTGACTCTACAAAGCAAGACTGTCTTAACTTCAAGTAATGCAGCCATGATATCTAAAAGCTAAGAGTGATCTTTAAGAAAACGTTTGCTCTTCCATGACAAAAGAGTTTCCAATTATTAAGACAGAAAAAATCCAAAGCAGTTTTTGGACAGTGGTATGGATAAAGGTAGCTCGTATTTGAGACAGGAATACCCTTTTCATTACCCAATCACAATTACTCTGTCACTTGAGAGACATTAAGTCTCTCCATCTCAAATGAGAATTCACATTTCACAGAATATCATGCTTGTCTGTCATCTTAGTCAGCTCAGTCCCACTTTTTTTTTTTTTTTTTTTTTTTAAAGTGGAAGGCTTTTAAATCTAACTTTGAACCAAAAACAGAGAAATATATGACTAACAGTATTGGAAACAATGAATGGTTCCAGAAAAGTACTGTATATACTAGGTCACCTTCTCCAGTTTTTATTCCTTTCACATACAGCAATATTCATGTTTGAGTAATTGTGAAAACCTCTATGCACAGAAGTACTATTGGGATTTCTTTTCCTGTAATTAATTTTTTGCTGTTTGATGTGAAAGTCCAAACTATAAAACTGACAAGAAGCCAGCTGGTACAAGTTATGAAATGGAAGACAATGAAATTAATGGAAAAAACCCACTCTGCTAACTGAACATTTTGATTAGTGAATGTTTTTCTTTTGTTTCTCTACAGTGTAACAGATAATTATTTTACCTAGGAATTTAATTAAAGTGCACCATTGCTAACACACTGCAGATATTATGCATTTCTTCACTGACACCAAGGAGTATGCTAATGGGTACAAATTATCAAATGCACAAATCTAATGGGACCTCTGCATTACTGCCCTATTCACTGTGCTGACAATTTCTCCACCAATGTACATATACATTAAACTATAAATATATTTCAACCTTTAATATAAATTATTTTGGAATCTTTAGCTTGTGCTAGTTAGTGTTTGGCTGAAACCCAAGGGGCTGCTGGAATTGTGTTGGTCTTTTTCCTTCTCGGACAGTTTTGATAGCAGTTCTATATGCCAATGGTCTCCTAAAGAGCAAAGAGCAAAGCTAAACTGCTAATACAAAAGGGCAGTTTGGCGAGATCACACAATATAACTGCAAAAAAAAAAAAAGGCAGCAATCGTTTGAAGCAAAGGATAAATGGTTAAGAGCGCTTAGAATTACATAAACATAAGAATGGTTTTTAAACAGATTTTTAAAGCATGTGAAATGAGATCCTGTAGACCAGTGGTGCTCAACCTTTTTTAATTTGTGACCTCCAGGGCCGTGAAAATTTTTGCTCAGCAAAAAAACCCAACCAAAACAACAAAAAAGCCTGCGCCGGGAACATTTTGTTGTGGCCCCTTTAATTTAAAGCACCAATCCACGCCCCTGCCACTCCTCCTGCCCCAGCTGTTCATACATCTGGGGCCGAGCTGGGAAAACAAAATGGCAGCTGGCCCACTGCTGCAACCCCCCAGGAACACAGCCACGAATGACCCATGGGTTGCTCACTGCTGCTGTAGATCATGACATCCTTTTCAGAAAAAAATTGAAAATATTGCTAGCCTAATCCTTGTTTTTTCTACAAATTTTGATGCTCTTGGTAAGAAAAAATATTCTACAAGTTTCACACAACAAATTATTACAAAGCATGTTTTAGTTTGTTAACTACTATAGTTTTAAAAACCCCCAGCACATACACATATTGCCTTAAAAATAGGGTAACATCAGCAGGCCCCAATCACAGAATCTGAGAACTGGAAAAGACCTCGAGAGATCATCAAATCCAGTCATCTGCCCTCATGGCAGGACCAAGCACCATCTAGATCAACTCTGATAGTCATCTATCTTACCTGCTCTTAAATATTGCCAGTGATGGAGATTCTACAACCTCCCTAGGCAATTTATTCCAGTGTTTAACCACCCTAATAGTTAGGAAGTTTTTCCTAATGTCCAACCTAAACCCCCCTTCCTGCAATGCATGCCCATTGCTTTTTGTCCTAGCCTCAGAGGCCAAGGAGAACACTTTTTCTTCCTCCTCCTTGTGACACCCTTTTAGATACTTGAAAACTATCATGTCCCCTCTCAGTCTTTTCTTTTCCAAACTAAACAAGCATAATTCTTTCAGTCTTCCCTCATAGGTCATATTTTCTAGACCTTTAATTATTTGTGTTCCTTTCTGTATCTTCTCCAATTTCTCCACAACTTTTTTGAAATGTGGTGTCCAGAACTGGATACAATACTCCAATCAGTGCAGAGTGGAGCAGAAAAATGACTTCTTGTGTCTTGCTCAGAACACTCCTGTTAATAATCATGTTTGCTATTTTTGCAGCAGTGTCTCATAGTTGACTCAGATTTAGTTTATGGTTCACTATGACCCCTAGATCTCTTTCTGCCGTACTCCTTCCTAGACAGTCGCTTCCCATTCTGTATGTGTGAAACTGATTGTTCCTTCCTAATTGGAATACTTTGCATTTGTCCTTATTAAACTTCATCCCATTTACTTCGACCATTTCTCCAGTTTGCCTACAACATTTTGAATGATGACCATGTCCTACAAAGTACTTGCAATCCCTTTTGCAAACTTTATAAGAAGACTCTATGCCAATATCCAAATAATTGATGAAGATATTGAACAGAACCAATCCCAAAACTGACCCCCTGCAGAACTCCACTTATGTCCTTCTTGCCTGACTGAACCATTAATAACTACTCTGAGAATAGTTATCCAAGTTAGTTATGCACCCACCATATAGTAGCCCCATCTAGGTTGTACTTTTCTAGTTTATTGATTAGTAGGTCATGTAAGACCATGTTAAATGTTTTATTCAAGTCTAGGTATACCATATCCACTGATTCCCCCTTATCTACTGGACTTGTTAACTTATCAAAGGAAGTTATCAGATCAGTTTAACTAGGAGGTGAGGAAAGAAAAACTTTGGAGGCATATAATGTCTTCTCTCTGCTCAGTTAGAGTGGGCATGC